GGCCCATTTTAGGGACCTTCATAAGAGCTGCTGGTGGGTGCACTTGCAGGGGCCTTTGGAGGTCGATTCTACTTGTGGTGGTACATGGATTAGGGCCAAAGTCCGTCTCATCATGTGGCTGCCGCCTGCAGAGACCTAATTGCCCTCAGAGTCGAGTTGAAGGATATTGCAAAAATTTGGGTCAACAATCAAAGCGATAGAAAAACAAATGGGAACGCTGTGACTGTGGCTGTGACTGCCCAAATTATAAAATGGTCTCAGGCGCATTAGCAAATGTCATCGGGGCCTCCCAGCCGAATCGAGCCCCTCGGGACGGACTGACCTCTGCCAGCCGGGCACACATCTTTCTTGGTCCGTTTGGGGTCAAGCCCTCGGCTGCTCGCCAAAGGTTGTGTATGTCTTTGATTGCCAGCGGAGATGGTGTCAGGGTCTGAGGGGCTGGGGTCGCTCCGTATGGTACAGCCTAAGTGTGCATTTCTGTATATGGGCCGTCACATGGGCACATACACACACATACACAGAGGAGTAAGTGCCTCTGTGCATGGGTATGTGTGTATGCATGTGTTTTCGTTTGTGTCTCCATGTTTGCATACTTTTCTGCATACAAGCAGTCACATGAGCAGGCATACATAGGCATAATTGCATATATGCATGTGCATGCGTGTAGCTTATGCACATATGTTTTCGTTTGTGCGTGTCTACACGTCTGTGTGCATGCATTTGTGTGCTTGAGTGTGTGCCATGGCACCGAGACATCGCATTGTGCAAGGCGATGGGGACAGCTTCACAGTCCGCACATGACGCTGAGGCCATGGTAGCGTTTGAGCCCTTCTGAGGTGCCTCCACCGGTTCGAGGCCCCGTTTGACGGGCGCGGCAGGGTCTAGCAAGTTTTCAAGAGGCGTTTGTTTTTAGTTAAGACAAAATAAAGGGTAATTTGAAAGTGGGAAGAAGTGGCGGCAGAAAAAGAGCAAATTTCTTTAGACCGGGAAATAACGCCCGCTAATGGGCAGCACTAAACAGATGAACGCCGAGCGACAATGTCGTAGTTGGTAGGTCGAGAAACCGAATGCCAGCAGAGCATGTCCCACCGCTTAGAACCACTTGAGTGTGTGGCTGTGGGCACTATCTCGGCACGAGTGTTTATAATCAGGCCAGTCTCTAGGGCGGCCCAGCTTGTCGACTAGTATCATGTCATCTACACGACGGTGCCAGATTGGTTTGATCGGCCGCAGTTGCGGAGGCCAACGGTGCTGGGCGGTTGAAAAAGCGCTTCGTAATTGGGCTCCGAGAGGCTGAGCTGGACCGGGACCAGGGGGCCACGAGAACTCGACTCCAGCGAATGAAGGAGGCAGGACATGCTGACAGCAAGCCTAAGCCTTCTGTATCCGGGCCAGGATAGCCCCAGGATACCTTTTTTCAGGTGAAATGAAATAAATGTAATCAGAACTGTCTTCCACCCTTACCTATTCTGGCCAGAATGGTCAAAAATAAGAGTGGACAGAAGCCATCAAAGAAGCCAGACCATGAGATCTGTAGACGTTATTTCTTTTACAGCCATAATCATAAAAATAATCTGAAGAATGAAGATCAAAATGGTGTGGCCCTCAGATTGACGGCTTTATAAAATCGGAAAGCGGTTTGACCTCGTTTTCGCAACTTGGTCGTGTTGTCAGGGCGACCTAATTGGACTAACATTGTCCTAAGTCCTCTGCTATAGGAATTATGATAATTCCCAGCGGCTGACCGACTTGGTCTGTTCCCATATGTTTTGCCAATATCCTAGTCAGTATCGTTAGTGAGTCTTGACATTTTTAGCACCAAGCTACAACGCTAAGATCCCAGCGAAACATCTGGAAATTTACCAATTCTACGGTCTGATACAAAGGATTTCGGACAAGGTTACTTTATAGTCGCCCTGACAACACAATCAAGTTATGTAAACGAAGTCAAGCCACTTGTATACAGCGAAGGAATGTCATGATTATGTTCTTGCAATGTTATAAATAGAGATATACTGGTTTTCAAAAGAATTTCTCAGTGAATTATTGTGACATGAATTTGCAGGATCATACATTTGGTTAGTTAGACAAGGAAACAGTTGCCTCTATATCCACTTCCATTTCATGCATCAACCTACCTCGATCTACAATAATGTATGTAAAGGGAGGTCTTAAAGTAGCGAAAATTTAGGCATAGGAAGTTAGTTCTTCGTATTTAAGTAGAGTTTAGGGATTACCAGTAGATATGATGTATTCACCATATTTCGTTTAAGGTGATGAAGGACTGGGAGTAGAATTTTCCCACAATAATATGAGTAGAGCTGACGTTTCCATTCAATTTCACATAGCCTTGCTTTCCTAAAAGTTGTAATATCCAGGCAGAAGTGGACTGTAGTTTCGACCTCGCGTCGGTCTTATCAACACCCCCAGCGGGAGTCGAACCGTGACA